CCTTATGCTTGACTTTTATTTTTAATATCCTTATGGTACTTACTATTAAATCTTACGAACAAAATAAATTGTTGTATCTTACGATTTTTTCTTTGGCAATAGGCAGTCTCTGGCTATTTTATTTTTAAGATTTCATTTTAATACTTTTAAGTTCACAGTAAAATTGAAGAAAAAGTACAGAAAGTTTACATACAGCCCTTGCTCTCACACACCAGTAGCCTTTCCCACTACCAACTTCCTCACCAGAATGACACATTTGTTACAAGTGATGAACCTATATTATCCTACCATAATCCTGACGTTCATACTGCAATGAGTTCTAGAGAAAGCAATCCTCATGTTGGTAAGTATTTCTATCACATCTTTTTCATACTCCCAGGCTAAAGAAGCCTGCTCTGGATTAGTGAAATTCAAAGCACTGTTGCAGTTGAGAATAAAGGCTCAACCAAGTGGTATAAATGTATCAGGATCTGGGAAGTGACATGTTTTTCAGGCTGGGTTACATAATTTGCCAAGGACACTAAATGAGTAAAGCTTCCCAAGTTGTCCTGCTAAAGAGAAAGCCTGGCTATGACTCCCTCCCTTTAGTTAATCTGTCCCTGCTGTCATTTGGGAAATGGTATTAGGCTTACTCTTTCCTTTACCTGAGGCAAGTTCACTGTCATTAGCTGATGTGTTATCTTGCTAGTTTCTCCATATCAACTGAAGAAAAAAAAAAAGGGCCATCATGGTTTGGTCATAGGGAAAAATGAAGATATCTTTCAGCTGCCTCTAGTTCTGTACTTCATGATGGCCCACTGCCATAAGAAAAAAAAAAAAAAAAGTCCTGTGTTGATATCATCATCTAGCCAACTTTTTAGGGGATCTTACTGAGGTTAGGATCACAGCTGTAACTATAAAGAGTATATTATTTGCCATAAATATAGGCATATTATATATATGTGTGTGTGTGTGTGTGTGTGTGTGTGTGTGTGTATGTATACATGTATATATCCAAACATATTTTATTCCTTATTCTTCTCCATCTCTTCTTCTTCCTTCCTTTTTTTTATAGTAATTTTTAATGTTTATTTATCTTGAGAGAGAGAATGAAAGAGAGCACATATGCATGGGGAGAGGCAGAGAGAGAGGGAGAGAGAATTCCAAGCAGGCTCCACGCTGTCAGTGCAGAGCCTAACACAGGGTTTGATCCTTTGACTCTGAGATCATGACCTCAGAGTAGATCAAGAATCAGATGCTTAACTGCTTGAGCCACGTAGGCACTCCTTCCTTCTTTCAATGTTGCCTTATATTTAGGGTACAGGTAAGCATTTCAAGATAGTTATCAATGATTAAAAATATAGTAAATCCATCATTTCTTTGTATTTCTTTCGATTGGAAGCAAAAAGAGAAAAAATGATAGCTTTACCTGAAGTAGGTTAAAAAATAACCAATTTTGCTTGTTCTTTTTAAAACATCTTATAAGATCATGTTGGATTTATTCTTAAGAGAACCACAAAATATTGTGAATACCAAACATTTTCTTTAACAGTGTTTTGAGGCACTGATGGTATATGAAAGAAAAGCATATACTGACAAAATTAATCTCAGATACTAAATCAAAAAGAAATAAGTAAGAGTATTTGAGAATTTCACACTTAAGAAATATTTAGTCATTAATAATTCAAATGTATTAACACAGAAGTATATATGCTGATAGGCCTTAACCTCATAAATTTACTGGAATATTGATAAAAGAGGTGACTAATGCTTGACTTATTTTATTTAAGATGTTGGATTTATTCCTAACAAAACCACAAATTATTTTTAAATCTGAACTTTAACTCATTTTCCTTTTTAATATTTAATTTTCCAGTCCAATATTCTATTTTGTTTCTTTGCCTTTACTCACTTATTTATTATCATTTATTTATGTATTTTTATTTTTACTTTACAGCCATTGTACTATGAGATAATTTATTCTGATTTTTTTCTCAGTAAATTACAGTAGGTATTTTGTCTTAGCCACAATGTTCTGGTTTAAAAAAAAAAATTCTTATTTTCCTAAATATCCATGACTAAATATTTTACAGTTTTGAAAATCTGATTTTGTTATAGCTATACCAGTATTTTCTATGACTATGAACCTTCTAAATAAAAAATAATATAATTTAAAGTGTTACTCCCTATGAATCATGACTGAACTAAGTAAAAGGAGTATTATTTCACTTTTTAAAAATTTTGAAGATGTTTAGTATAGATGCCAAATATATCAAATAAAGATATATAATAAATAAAAGATTTAAAGAATAGATGCATATTATCATTGCATAGATAACTTAAATACATACTTTCTACTTAAAATATATCATGTTTTATTAATCTATTTGCTACTTTACAACACCTTCATTAGCCCACACTGGTTGGTGAAGACACAAACAAATCTGGTTGTAATCATCTAGTTAGCAATGTTAGTTTAAATTTAATAAATAAACATAGTCAACTATATTATATGTTATATATACTAGTTTCAGGTCTCCTCTAGGGTCAGGCTTAAGTTTGCAAATTTCTATCGGGAAAAAAACTCCAGGTCAGATATGCTTCTTATAGTTTACTATATGAATGAGTTTTTATAATTAGGCCCTGGAGGAGAGTACCTATATCATTTTTAAATCCTTATTTCTTAATTGCAGTGTAATTAGCACTGTTATGTTAGGTATATTACAATACAGTGTACAATATAGTGATTTGACAATTCTGTACATTACTCAGTGCTTTTCATGCTAAGTATACTCTTAATTCCCTTCACCTATTTCACATCCCCCCACCCACATCCTCTCTGGTAACCACAGCTTTGTTCTCTATATTTAAGAGTCTGTTTTTGTTTGTTTGCTCATCTGTTTTTTTTTTTTATTTGTTTCTAAATTCTACATATGAGTGAAATCATATGGTATTTATCTTTCTCTGACTAATTTATTGGACTTAGCATTATACCCTCTAGATCCTTCAATGTTGCTGCAAATGACAAGATTTTATTCTTCTTTGTGGATGAGTAATATTCCATAGTATGTATGTATGAGTCTGTATAATATAGATGTTATATATGTGTGTATATATGTTATATGTGTGTGTATATATATATATACACATATATATATATGCCTACATCTCCTTTATCCATTCATCTATTGATGAACACTTGGGTTGCTTCCATGTCTTGACTATTGTAAATAATTCTGCAATAAACCCCTAGAGGTGCATATACCTTTTTGAATGAGAGTTTTCATGTCCTTTGGGTAAGTACCCAGTAATGGAATTACTAGACTTTATGGTAATTCTATTTTTAATTTTAGTTTTTCATGCTATAAATTCTTGCATTAAGAAAAAAGTTCATATAAAAAACATTACACTACAAGGAACCAGTAAAAGAAGAAACTTCTCTGAAATTTAGAAGGAAATAACCAAAAAAAAAATGAGTAATATATAAAATATAGAACAAACGATAACATAACATTGAAAATAATGACTAGTTTTCCCAAAAAATAAACAAAATTGGCAATGTTTTAATTATATTAACTAAGGAAAAAAAGAGACAAGACTTGAAAACCAAAATGAGAAAGGAAGAGAAAACAATAGAATGGATACCACAGAAATATATAATGAGATAATAGATTAGTATAAATAGTTATATACTAACAAATCAGTTATATACTGACAAACAGTTATATACTGACTTAGAAAAAAAAACATAATTCCTAACAATACACAAGTTACCAAGATTGAATCACGAATCTTGAATCCAAGAAACAGAAAATCTTAGACCACTAACAAGAATGAAATTTGAATTAGGAATCAAAAATCTCCCAATATAGACAAGTCCAAGACTATATAGTTTCATTGGTGAATTCTATCAAAAATTTAAAAACATAGTTAATGATAATCTTTATCACAATCTTACAAATAATGGAATAGAGAGAACACATTCAAAATCAGTCTATGAGGCCAGTATTATTAGCCTGATACCAAAGCAGGGTAAAAGTCCCACTGTGGTGGGCCCATCCCCCAGAAGTCTAGCACAAACCCCTGGCTGCAAGTGGGGGACCAAAAGTGAGAAAGACAAGAAAGAATCAGGGACAATCTCCAGAAATAAACACAAAACAAGTAATAAAATGGCAATAAATACATATCTATCAATAATTACTCTGAATGTAAATGGACTAAATGCTCCAATCAAAAGACACAGAGTATCAGAATGGAAGGGGGGAGAAGACCCATCTATATGCTGCCTACAACAGAGTCAGTTTAGACCTAAAGACACCTGCAGACTCAAAGTGGCAAGGTGGAGAAACATTTATCACACAAATGGACGTCCAAAGAAAGCCAGAGGACCAATACTTATATCAGACAAATTAGACATTTTGTTTTCATATTGTTTTTATCCTGGTTTGGTGTCAGAATACCTGTGTCTTATCCAGAGTCTCCACACAGGATCTTCGACCCCACAACCCAGTCCTCACGCCTTGGATTCTTCCCACAGTATTCTATTTGTTATTGTTCAATCTCTTGTCATACTTTACTGCCTTTGCTCATTTATTTTCCTATGGGAAACTCAAGGTTAATGAGTAAAACACATTAATTTAAATTCCACAGTATCAATTGATCACTACCCAGTTTTTCAATGACTCTAGGAAGCATATATAGTTTGTGGTAAATAAAACTGAAAGACGGATTCAAACCAAGCCAGGACAGATTAAGTTTGCATCATCTTTACGTGTCTAATTGTTTTCTAGGAAATATTTTTTGGTTTCATCATAGAATAGTAATAGCAAAACAACAGGGTTAATTCTATTTAGGGAAAGTCACTGTAACTATGTGGTAATTATTTATTCCTCTTATCTTAAAATAGTTTAATTTTATCCTTGTCATTGTCCTTCTTCTGTATATAGTTCAACCTATGTTAGTATGTGTGTAAATCAATAGGGAAACATGAAAAATAATCACTTCATGCTAATTCCACTTACTAAATATTTGCCGCACGTTGAGCTCTGTGTGAATCATGTTCCTCCTACATAAGGCTTCTGAGATGCCAAAATTATCCACCACCTGTACAAAAACCACAGAGAGTATATTTTGAGTGTTAAATTCTTTGCTGACTTTAATTTCATACCTTTATTTTGCTTTTACCCTCATTTATTAACCTAAGGAATTTCATTTTTGTTTCCTTTTGCCATAGCATGCACTTTTGTAAGCCATTTTAAATTCAGTTGAAATATAAACATGCAGAAATAAATAACATTATGGTTTCCTTTATTCCCAGGCAACACATTTGTATAGAATCTCCTAAATCATAGAACCTTGAAATGAATTGAGGCAACAACATTTGTAGCAGAAAAATAACTATTACTATAAAGCCTTAATTAGTTAGAACCTATAATTAGTCAGCATTCATTAAAGATTATTTGAATTCACACAAATGGTGTATATATAAGTAGCCATGTGCACTTAGCTTAGGAGAGTATTTCTGCCAAGACTATTTACTATAAAAAGATGAATACACATGGATATAAGCAATTGTAATCGTATTTATATGTAAGTGAGCACATGGTAAATGTACACAGAGAGACCAAGCAGCTAAACCATTTTGTTATAATGGAAGGACATCTATATTATGTAAAACACTGTATTCATTGTCTGCCAAACTATTTTTTGTTTCCATTTGTCTGTTTTGTCATTCTGTGACAAAATTATAGGACAGCAATAACGGCATAGGAACCAAGAGATTAAAGCTTTCTCAGGAAAAAAGGAGACACTATTTTGTGATAACAAATGCTTACTTTATTTGTGACTTATCAAGTAAGTCTGATAAGAAAATTTTCCTAAAGTGACAAATATCTAAGTTCCCTAAAACTATTCAAAATATGTCTAATGTGTATTAAATATTTAGTATCATGTTAAACAAATTCTGATAAATTTTTAACAAAAATTTAGTGATTAATTTATTAACAATTCTAAAAATGTTGACTTATCTATAATTGGAATAGAAGTAACTTTAAAGCCCATTAATTTCATAACCAAATGTTTTTTGCATGGGTTTTGGAGTCATTAAACTTCAGTAAATTATCTTTTGTGAGACTTCATTGCTTTATTGCTTTATTATCCGATGATATTTTTTTAATTTTGTTTTTAACCTTTCCTTATTTTTGAGAGATGGAGAGAGAGCATGAGTGGAGAAAGGGCAGAGAGAGAGGGAGGCGTGGAATCCCAAGCAAATTCCAGGCTCTCCACTGTCAGCACATAGCCATGAGAGGCTCAAATCCACAAACTGTGTGATCATGACCTGAGCTGAAGTTGGAGGCTTAACCAATTGAGCAACCCAGGCTCCCCATATTATCTGATGATATTTAATTCTTCCTCATATGGTTTTCACAAATCCTGGTACCTTGAGTTTTTTAATGACCTTAAATATAACACTATCTACAACAAATGATTTAGAGATTACAAAATTCTTTATAACTACTTGTTGTTTTTATATCAAGGCAACTTGCATATTCATCTTGTACAAATTATGCACATTTCTTTGTAATTCCATAATAGTAGTTTATTTACTCTGAACAACTTGCATAATCATATGTATTCATCCATTTGACTTACATGTTCTTGCCTCCAAGGGGTGTGGTAGGGAATTAATCTGTGCAAGAGTAACAAAGAATGTGTAGTATGACTTGGTCTATGCTTTCTGTTCTTGGTCGTACCCTGTGCTAGCCAACTCAGATGGTTAATTTTATGTTAACTTGGCTAGGCCATATTACATGGGTATCTGGTCAAAAATCTCTGGATGTTCCTGTGCAGGTGCTTATTTTAGATGAGATCAACATTTAAATCAATACACTTTGAGTAAAGCAGATTACTTCCATAACATAGGTGGGCCTCGTCCAAACAGTTAAAGGGATTAAGAGAAAGCTTGACTTTCCCTTAGCAGGAAGGAATTCTGCCAGCAGTCTGCCTCTGGGCTCAAACTGCAACATCAAGTCTTCCCTGCGTTTCCAGCTGCCACCCTACCCTGTAGATCCTGGACTTGCCAGCTTCCTTAATCACATAAAGCCAATGCCTTAAAATCAATCAATATCCCACATACCCCCTCTTTTCTATTAAGTCTCTGGAAAATCCTGACTAAAACACCAACAAAACTATCCATATTAATTTTGAAACCATTTTACAAGGAAAAACGTTTGTCATTCAGGTGAACTTTGTCCATCTACTACATGCCAGGCATTGTGTTAAGATCAGCAAAAAAACCAAATAAATAAATAAAACATGGGCCATACTTTGAGATGACTAGAAAACTCTGTGGGAAAAAAATATACATGAGAACAAAGTATTTAAAATAAATAGTACTATATTTAAACAGAGATAATGGCATAAATTATGGATGACTCAATTATAAAAAAAAGTTGTTAATGAATGAATAAGGTAGGAAACATCTGGAGAGAATGGAAAAGAAAGCATAAAGGATTATGAATGCCATAAAGATACTGAATATTATCCTATGAATTAGGGAATTCATTAAAGTTTTTAAGCTTAGGTATCAAATGTGTAGGTTTAGATTTTTATTTTGATCACTCTGATAATATTATAGTTGATGAATCTGCACAGGGTGAGAACAGAAGACAGAAAACTACTGAGGAGATTATTGCATTAAGCTAGGGAAGAAATGATTAAGACTTAAGCTAGTAGAGGTGGAATTAAAGGGACATAATTACAAGTATTAATGAGATTGATTTGAGTATGAAGACCATTATACAGACTTCTATTGACATTTCTAGCTGACGTGGGTCAGTGGTGAATACGGCTCCCTAAAATAAGACATACCAGAAAAAAGGAACAAATCCACAGGAAAATATAATGATACATATTGAAAATGTTGCATTTAAGACACTAGTTAAATAATTATATGCTATAAATTTATTTAGTTTGTCCAATAAGCTGTTATTAAATAGGCACCTTGGTTTTTGAAGTTCAAAGAGTAGACAAAGAGTTTTTTCAGTCATGGACAAATGAGGGAATTTCTGCTTAATTCTATGAATAAGAAGTAAAAACATTAGTCTCTTTCTAGTGGTGTTACAATTAAAATCCTTTTAATCAAGGAGAGTATCCTTTCCTTGGATATTACCTTGGGTTTCTCATATACTAGGATATTTCCAACATAGTCTTTTTAAAACAAACCATCTTCATGATTCATTTATTTTCTGATACTGATTAAAGAGATACTCATTATTAGAGAACTTACAGGTATTTTCCTCAATAACATACCTTCTTGTGTGTATGATTATTTGGCAGAATATATCACAAAGTTAGAAAGCTTCTTCCCTTTTTTCTAGGATTTTATTGTTATTTTACTTCTCCCCTTTGTTGAAGAAATATGTAGAATATTTAAAACATATTAGAAGAACATTGAACTAGAAACAAACAGATCATGTTTAAATTGTGGTTCCATGTAGCTCTAAATTATATAATACTGGAGAGATTTAAACATGAGGACCTGTGAAATATACATTTATAGCCTATCTCATTTGTTTTTTGTAGGAATAAAGTTTGATGCATATGAATGCTGCTAGAAGATGGATTTATGCTTTGTAAACATTCATTAAAATTTAGTGAATTAAAGCTCTTTAGTAGTGAAAAAAATTTAAAGTATCAAATCTAAATTTTTGATTACAGAATTCCTGCCCCCATTCTGTGAATTCTTTAAGTTTTATCTTCAAATAGAAATAAGTAAAGTCAATCCCTTCTGTTTGTAAGAAGAAACATATGCAGATTACTATAGTTAAAAATAGTTCATCTAAAGGATGTGTAGGGAAGTTCTTACAGCTGGTTACTGATACAGGGATAGCTTATGATTCCATCCCACTACCAATAAAATTCTTCTTTGTTTCCACTTCTTATCTGCTCCACTCCACCTCTCTTATCAGCCTAGTCTCTTTTTCCAGCACAGATTCCACAACAAGCAGGATTTGCTTTACTGGGTAATCACTACTGAACACAGACAAATCCTTCAAGCAAAGTGTTTTTCCTCATAAGTGACTCCAAGGAGACTAAAGATGGATGACACTGGGAGGGCACCATCTCTAATTTAATCAACTTGGGCCCAGTTGACAGAATCACAGTAATGAAGCAGAGGTCTATCTGAGACTAACCACTCCCGGTTGCCTGCTCATGAGGTATCTTTACACAATTGAAGACTTTTAGACATCTACTAGAAAAACCGTTCAGGTTATACATATTTCACAATTTTATGATAAAAACTTGGGGGACTTTTTATGGATTAATAATGTTATAAATGTATTCAAATATTCCTATTAAAATAATTTTCAAGAAGAAGAAATGATCCTGGAGGGAATAAAGCAGGGAGACACAAAGTCAGATCAAAATAGGAGAAGGGTGCCTTGGTGGCTCAGTCAGTTAAGCGTCGGACTTCAGCTCAGGTCATAATCTCGTGATTCGTGAGTGTGAACCCCACATTGGAGCTAACTCTCTGGCTCAGAGCCTGGAATTTGCTTTGGATTTTGCGTCTCCCTCTCTCTCAGATCCTCCCCTGCACATACTCTGTCTCTCTCTCTCCCTCAAAATAAATAAACATTAAATTTTTTAAAAAGAGAAAGATTTTATAAAATTTAGTATGTGAATTTAAATTTTATCAAAATAGTGTTAACATGATGCATAATTATATTTGCAAAATGTTTACCTCAGAATAACCCAGGTCAGTAAAACTGTAGAGGGAAACATGCATCAGGAAGAAAATCATACGGGGAGGGGGGGAAGATCAATTTTTGTCTTTGCAATTCTGAAAAATACTGTGCCAAACAACTATTTATAGTTTCAGGTCTTGGTAACAACAATTTGGCAGGCAGAATAATGTCCTCCACCAAACAAATGAACAAAACCCAAATGTTCATATCCCAATCTTCAGAACCTGTTAATATGCAGGATAAGTAGCAAGGAGGAATTACAGTTGCACATGGTTAATACTGCTAATCAGCTGACTTTAAAATGGGGAGATTACTCTGAATATTCCAAGTGGGCTCGATATAACCACAAAGGTTACT